GAGAGAGAGAGAGAGAGAGAGGCTGAATGACAAAATTGAAATATGGGTCAAATTGCGGCCGCGATCTATTTCGCAGTTGGAATGATTTTTTTTAATTTATTTAACGTTTTTTCTGGAAAGATCACAACAAAATCTACAAGTACTCCAATTTTTAGGTTTTTTCACGCATTCTTCTGAGAGTGAAAACTCACTGAATTTTGAGTATTTTTTAAGTTGACCCACACGTGGCTGAGTGGCAAAAATGGAAAATGTGCCCAATCGGCGCGACGATTATTTCTCGGTCTAAATTATTTTTTAAAAATGTTCTAATATTTTTCCTAGAAAAAACACGACCTCATATATGGATTCTCAAAATTTCAGATTTTTCTGCGGGTTCCTCCGAGCACAGAAAATCGCCAAAGGTGCCTTTTGCAAAACGCCTGTTTCGTTGCGTCGAACCTCCCTGTTTTGAGAAAACGGGCCTCAACGCCTGGACCTGAGCGCCCTTACCCCACCCCCACTTCTTTTTGGGGTCCACTTCCACCCGAGGACCGGTCCTTGCTTTTTCAAAAAAGTCCCGGTCATTCCAGAGCTGCCTGTAGGTAGTCCCCAATTTTGCCAAGAACCGGTTCCCCCCAAACTTTTGCCCCCTAAAAACCCGCTTTGCGTCCTGGTTGCCCGCCATCGAAAATGCGACACCTTGACGCAGACACCGAAGCCCACTATACCGCAGCCTTAGGGCTGCGAACACAAGAGAGAAAGAGAGAGAGAGAGAGAGAGAGAGAGAGAGAGAGAGAGAGAGAGAGAGAGAGAGAAAGAGAGAGAGAGAGAAAGAGAGAGAGAGAAAGAGTTTTGTTTCATTTGTTGATGCGAGAGAGAGAGAGAGAGAGACGCGGAAGCCCACTATACCGCAACCTAAGGGCTGCGAATAATCCCAGATCCCCCCCCCCCCAAAAAAAAGGTAGAGGAACGGTCACACAGATGTGCCCATTTGTCAGCGGCCCGGGAAGCCGCGGGGCAAGGGATTTTGCGGTCACCTATGGGAGCACGGTTCCTCTAGCGAAGGAGTAAGGTAAACTGTGTCCCACAAACACTTGTGGGACATCTGCGAGACATCGCCCAGCCGTTGGTGCAGAAAAATCGGATGGCAATAAAATCACCATGGATTTGTATTTGAAAGTTCTTCTCTTACTTTTTGTTTGCTATTTTTTTTTATAATTGCGAAGAACGGGAAGGGGGAAAGAAAAATTGATAGACTCATTGTGATTGGCAGCACTTGGAACGGAAAAAAAAAATGAAGTACTTGGAAGGGTTGGTATGGACCACTTTTTTCTTCCGGGGCCGGGATCATGTCTCACTTGCAGCGTTCAGTGAGGCGCTGATCCGACAATACGTAAAAAGAGAAAAACAAGAAAGTCTCTTGAAAGATGGACACGGGTAGTGTGGGGCAGCAAAGTACATTGGGACCCCACACAGGCGGGTTCCGGGGGTCGTTCCCAAGTACCATGCCGGATTTGTTTGGGCTTCCACCGATACGGACGTTCCTGTGGCCTACCATATGGCCTGGCCTCCAGCGTCATACAGTTCTCTGCTGCACCGTGACGGACGAACGTTGAAAAGGGCGACTCATTTTTGCGGCAGCTTTCTCGGTAGGGGTAGAGGTCCTCAACCTTTCTATTTTATGTAGCGTCGTTGGGCCGTTCATCACGACCGACGCGCTACGTACACATAAACCGAAAACGTACCCTAACAAAGCGCGACCATCTATGATTTTGGAAAGTAGTGGGTTTCGCGTTCTCAAAAAAAATGGCTAACTTACATACTGTCGGATCATAAGCTAAGTCCAACGCTGAGTTTTCTATCACGTGCGAACTGGGGTAAACCATGAGATGAGTTCTTGCAGCATTGAGTAAGTTCAACGCTGAGTTTTTTATCACGTGTGACATGGGGCGACCTAGGAGATGAGTTCTCTCATCGTCCATCAGGCGGTAGGATTTTCAAAAAAGAGGAAAACGAAAGTTGAATTGTCTTTTTTTAGTAGGTTAATCAAATGAAAATCGTTCCTCCCAAATACAACGACTCCTACCCTAACTCGCTTCTGTTGAGCTAGCTACCTTTCTAAAAGCGGGGTAGCTAGCTCAACGGTGTAAGCCAGGCTGCCTCACTCGTTGTCATTATTGTTTGACACCTTGTCATTCGTGATTTTTGCTTGTCACGATTCCCCATCTTGTATCTCTCGTCCTTAGGGTCAGTGCCAAGAAGCTTCTTTGGGTTGTATCTCGTACACGGATGTGGTTACATACATCGTGAATGAAACTTCCCACTAGGGTAGTTTCTCTTGTTTGTTTTAGTAGGAATCTACGGTTCCACCCTCTCCCATCGTGTTACCTTCCATGAGCTTGGAGATCTCGGGGTCAGAGTTATGGGGTCTGTCACTACTCAGACTCTTTGAATCCCGAACCCTCACATTGGGTTTCGAACAACCATACACTGACAAATAATATATTGTTTTTTCGTTTTTTTACACGGAAGAAATTGTCAAAACAACTATTTAAAAATGATTTTCCACATTTTTAATCAATTATTAAAGCCCCAATTGAGTGTCAGACCATTGAGCTAGCTCAACTCAACGCTGCAAGTAGGATATGGCCCCCAGTTAATTGCAACCCCATAGAGTACTTGATTTTTTTCTCAAAATATAAGAACTTCACGCTTGAACATAGGAACCGTCACAAGAGGTAGTCCCATCTGGCACACTAAGGGACTCCACTCCCTCGCGGTGGTATGCGAGACTCAAACTGACGACAACAATCATCACGTAGCACTCGTCATAGATGCATCCTCAGGCAATAAAGAAAGATGGAAGAATTTAATCTAGCTACGTTCTGCAGGAGGATACATTGATGTCGAAGATACGGTTGAAAATAATTAAAAAAAATAGTAAAAAGGAAATGTATTTGTCTGTGTTTCTAGCTTGGGTACATGCATTAAATCTGATATATTATTCGAAGTGGTGGGAAACTTTGTGCTAATGGGAAAGAGAAAAAAAACATTGGGTGATGTATCCGAGTCTGGGGCCATTGTCGAGGAAGATACATATTTTATAATTTTAAAAGTTTGACAAGTTGTCCTCGTTTAGGGGATATATTGCCGAAAATTTTGACATTTTTCAAACAGACATCAGAGGTGAGGTAGGAAGATAAAAGTGTTTCATACTCACTCAAGCATAGTTTGGGAACTGAACTTTGTTGCGTTACATATTTTTTTTACTTAGATTGATTAAAGGCTTGACTAGTTTTAAGTTAATCCTACGAAGATCATCTTCTATTTTCTTTTGATAACAAGTCGGTTTCCGACCCAACTCCAACTCACTTTCGCTACTGAACCTAAAGGCCTTAGCCCCTGTGGGTTGAAACGTCTTTTTCGAGGTTTTGCCTGAACTTTAATTAAATGAAAGGCGGTTAACGGAAACCCTAATTTGCAGACAACTTGTCATGCCATTTATAATAAAATCCAAAGGTTATTTTAACTGAACTTGTCACTGAGTCATAAAGTGGATACCATAATTACTAGCTGCAAAACAAAAAAAACGAAAAAACTAAATAAAAAACCTATAAAATAGCAAGGCAAAAGTGCATTTTTATGCAAATTTCACCAACATAAATTTTAGGAGAGGAAATTTCAATGCTCCAAATGAGACCAAATTTGATACACAACAACCTGAATTAAAACAAAAACAGGTTAAAAAAAAAAAACCCATAAAATTTAACCCTCAAACCTTAATTTCAGTTTTGGACTTGTTAGTCAGGAGCTGAAACTGGTGGTCCTCGTTAACCACGTGTGTATTAAATGAGCATTTAAAAAAGACCGATTGTTTTTATTTTTGAAAGGTTGGACAAAGGTCGAGGCTTGTGTGGATAAGGCAAAGGGGTGTGAGTGCAGAGAGTGATTGAAGCTGACCCCGTGTAGTAGCACTACGTGTTTTGTTGGTGTCGAGTCTTTTATGAGATTGGAGGTATATTTTGTGAGTTGTAATTCAAATTAGACTTGGGTGCGATCATATGTACATTTTGAAGGGAATCACACTGTGATGTGAGAGTGATCGCCTCGTGTCCTATAAGGAACATGTCGGTATGGAGAGAAAAGGAAGACCTATTTTTATCAAGAACTGCTTAGAATTATTACAGTTTTACGTTAAGGTCCGTAGCGGTTGTCAAAGTCAAACCTCTTGACATGTTTCCAGTTCTCCGCTGATGGTGCCTCACTTTCAACGTAAGGGGTGTTTAGCCTCTACAAAGGGTCGAGGCCCGCCTACCACTAGACTGTATAGAGAGTGTAGAAGAGGGTAGGTCTCACAATCACATTTCCGATTGTTTAGCATCGAGAGATTAACCCTTCAAGATGTGCGTGAGCCGACACTTGAGTGTCGAAAGCGACACATGATTATGGGTACTACATGGTACACCATCTCGGTGGCCGCTTACGTATCCATGCATAACTAGTCGATATGATTAAGGTCTGTGTCGCCGCAATATTTATTCAGAGTCTCGCGCGCGATACAAGTATAATTCTTTTAGTAAACGTTATGGGTCAGATGTGGAACAAAGGGTTAGGCGCAAATTATGTGTGGAGCTTGATATTGTTTTTTGAAAGATGTATCACGTGGTTAGATTTGACCATCCTAGTCGACTGGCGTGAAGTCATATTCGAGAGATCAGTGCCTTGGATGACGATTTCCGTACGGGTCCGATTCAGGCGTTAACCGCGAGTAACCCGTATGCTACAGCGAATGAGAAATGCCCTCAACTGGGCCACCTCTGCGATTGCATACAAAAAACCTTTGCATGTGGTTCGGTAGCTCGACAGGGATACGCCCACCTAAAGGATGGTGACAACTCCCATTGGTAAGTTGTACCTCCCGTGACCCTATCCTGTTGTAGGGGTTCGCGAGAGGTATGGCTAGCGCACTCGGGCGGAGCGGCAACGCTCTACGACGAAGTTATGCAAAATCCTGCGTGAAGCGGCCGGGAGGGTCCCCTTTGCGGGACAGATGCGCTCGACAACGTTACCCGACATGCCTCTGAAAAAATCGTTGGGAACGGTATTAGTGGTATAGGTTTAGGAGTAGCGGTAGGTATGTGGTGAAAGATGAAATTGAGATAAGGCCCAATCTGTCCCTCAGAACATGTGCAACATTAAATACAAACATTTCCGGCGGGGAGGGACACGTGTCGGGCTACAAACCAGTAGGATAGGTGGAAGACAACTGACATCGTCCCTTGTCCCACATGATACTACTATATGGGTAGGACAAGTGCAAGCAACATCGTCCCCTGCCCTAAGTGGTACTACCTACTTGAGGGACATCTTCGTCTGGGAGGAGTGAACGACACTCTATTTCTTCGCTTGTCCCAGGTGGGACTATCTATTGGAAGGACTGGTGGGCGACAACTTCGTTCTTGGAGGGCGAGACCGAAGCACTGTGTACTGCGCACGACGCGGAGGCGCAACCTGGAGGGAGTGAGGACATAGTGTGAGTATGCCCTAAGAACGCCGCATTCGACCACCAATAGCCATCGTATGCATTTCAGAAAGTGTTGCATGGGTCTTTCGTTGTTGTTGTTTTTGTTGCCTCTTTTTCGTTCATCCACTCGTTCGTTTGCTGTCGACTAACGACTGATCCTCCACCTTCCCCGAACGCCGCCCGTTGCCTTAAGGTTGCCTCTCGATTTGTGGAAGTCCGAAGTTGCCTGGCCTGAATAAGAAACCTCTGGGTGCCGTCCAAAACGACCACCTCACGACCTCTGTAGGCTACCGCTGGCCCTTCGCTTTTTTTGTCTGCTAGGACCGCCTCAACGACCGGTCCGTTTTATGACAAGGACCACACCCTTCGACTTCATTTTCCCGCCCCCTCTACGCCTATCTAAGCCCTCAAAAGGTCGATGTTACCCGATCGGGAAAAGCCAGAACGCTATACCAGAACACAATCGGGTATAGCGCAGCCTCCTGGCTGCGAACCGGGCGGGCGACATCTTTGTCCGGGAGGAGTGGTTGACAACGGGAGGAGTGGTTGACAACAGACTTCTTGGCGCGTCCCAGGTGGGACTACAGTACCCGGTGGGCGACAGCTTGTTTCCCAGGTGGGGCTACCTACCGGCAGGACCTGTGGGCGACAGCTTCGTTTCCCAGGTGGGACTACCTACCGGCAGGACCGGTGGGCGACAGCTTCGTTTCCCAGGTGGGACTACCTACCGGCAGGACCGGTGGGCGACAGCTTCGTTCGTCGAGGGCGAGGCCGAAGTGGGTGAGGGCGACATCTTCGCCAACGAATGGGCGACATCCTGGCCTGCGACGAATGAGCGGGCGACATCTTCATGGACAACTGAGAGGATGCTCACAGTCGCACTGTTTTCTGCTCTAAATCCAAATGGCCAGTCGTGAACGAATCTGACAGCAATTGCGTCCGGAGCTGATTAGGAAAAGTCCTTCCTAGTGTGAGCGACATTGTTCCTTGTCCCAGGTGGTACTACCAATTCGTTGAGGGACACGCCTGGGACCGAACTGGGTGGGCGACATCTCCGATTCGTCCAACGCATGGACGCAGGGTTGCATGAACGAAGTGCCCGTGGCGGGGACATTGGGCCTCGCTGCCCTACTCTCGACATGCACAAAAGACAAAAATCATGGCCGTGTATCTTTCCATACTCTAGCTGAAGATTCACTCTCGTTTTGCACATTTCGAGAGCAGTGCAGCGAGGCCCATTGTCAATAGCCCGCCCGCGCGACCGCTGCCGTAGCAGTGGGAGAGAGTACAATGCGTGCGCCACGTGTCACGAGAGTACTCTGCGTGCGCCACGTGTCACGAGAGCACTCTGCGTGCGCCACGTGTCACGGGGAGATTGATCTTTTGCAACTGCCAGGTGTCATCCACAAAGGGTCTCGCTGCACTACTCTGTACATGCAGAAAAGACAAAAAATATGGTCGTGTATCTTTCCATTTTCTAGAGGAAGATTCATTCTGTTTTTGCATACGCGGTGAGTAGTGCAGCAGGCCCAAAAAGACAGCGATCTGCGTGTTCCAGGTTCAACGCGGAGGAAGGAAGGACCAGAGAGGAGTGGGTGGTCGGGATCGCAGGTCGGGATACAAGGATCGTCGTCGCATGCAGGAGGTTATCCGTCAGCGTCCAGGCATAGCAGAGTGGGTGGTCGCGATACCAGTCGCTTGTCCCGACTCCCGACTTAGAGGGAGGAAGAAGGAAGGAGGGAGAAGGAAGGAGGGAGGAAGAAGGAAGGAGGGAGGAAGGAGGGAGGGAGGAAGAAGGAAGGAGGGAGGAAGAAGGAGGAGTGCGCGTGGGGAATAGGATGGAGGAGGAGGAGTCAGGGAAGGGGAATGGAGCAGGCGCCACGTGGCAGAAAGACGTGGAGATGGATATGGCGGCGGCGATGGTGACGGGAAGCAGCATGGACGATGACAAGGTAGAAGGAGAGAGAGAGGGAGAGGGAGACGGAGAGGGAGAGGTAGGAGAAGGAGGAGAAGGAGGAGAAGAAGAAGAAGAGGAGGGAAAAGAAAGGATGCGCTCTTTTGTGGAAGAGGCTGACGAAATGAAGAAGCTGATCTCTGCTATTTCTCGAGCAGATGGGGCAGCAGATCCTGCTATATACAAGAGAATGGAGAATATAGTAAGTTTTAAATTTTATTTTATTACCCAAAAAAAAAAAAAACCTCGACTACAAAAAAAAAGAAAGAATTATTACAGTATAATAGGAAACTGAAAATGATATAATTAAGAAGAAAAAAATAATTGAAATGAATAGTAAAAGGAAAAGAAAAGAAAAAAAAATAAGAAAAAGAAAGGAAACAGTTAACGATGATCGTTACCTTCATTATGTGGCAAATCGGCAGTGTGATTAATTACCTCACACTTGATCATGAATGTGACCGTCTTTGTGGATCATGTTCATTGTGCTCAGATATATTCCTGTATTATTATATTATTCTTTTGAAAATCGCAATAACATTATAACAGGGAACTTATTGGGCTGGTCACATTGATTAGTCTTTACTATGTATATTGATTGTATCAATGTGCGATGTACATCATGATGAATGTGGCCCTCTGTGCGGATCAGATTCATGCTGCAGTCCTGTGAGCTTGCACGAAACAGCAAAAAACCAATGCGATAGTAAACATATTTATATTTATTTTCTCTTCGACGTGAAAAAAAAAATTATACGGTTATTGTCTTCAGTTAGTTTTGAGTTCGGAGAGAGAGTATCAACCCGGGGGTCCAGGTTCGTCCCCCTTTCCGGGATTATTGATTTTTTCTGACCGTTGATCTTTTCCAAATGGATGGTCACAAATAAATAACGCAAAATGGATTATCCATTTGTGTGGGAGCTGGCCACGTGGCAGCATGCTCTGCTCAAAACAATTTTTGTGTGGAATGTGGAATTGGTGGACTTAGCCAAAAAAACTGTTTGACGATATATTACATGTATATACGGTGAAACTCCGACGAAACAATTTGTCACAGCCCCTCTTTTGTTGTGTGTCCTCTTCTCCACTTCTCCCTCTCTGCCACCTACGGTTTACCGGTAGGTGCTGTTTGACGATATATATATATATATATCGTCAAATAGAACTGCCTACGGTAAACCGTAGGCAGAGAGGGAGAAGAGGACAACAAACGAGGGGCTGTGACAAACTGTTTCGTCGGAGTTTCACCGACTCATCAGGAGGCTGAACCCTCAACAGTCTGTAGAATCCCCTCACTGATTACAC